TTTTAATTTGAAATATTTTGTTTATTTTAAATAATTATCTGCTTATTTGTAATATTCAAATCATGCTTACTAGAAACAGTAATATTACATTTAATACGTTTATATATACATATATGTGTGGGAAGCAGGCATGATAAAAGGAATCGCGAACACGGACAATCGAACCTTCTCGATGTATTTACCGGCTGATCGGCACGTGCCGGCAGACATAAGAGTGTGTGCGTGTATATGAGCGTTGACGTACCGCGACCGGCCAGGCAAAAACGCTAACCCAACATGCCGAATTTAGGAAGCGATTAAGAACACGGATAATCGAACCGTCTCGGTGTATTTACCGGCTGATCGGTACGTGCCGGCAGGCACGAGTGTGTGTGTGTCTATGTGAGCATTAGCTCCGAGAATATTCTAACGTAACGCGACCGGGAAGGCAAAAACGCTAGCCCGGACGTACCGGGTTTAGAAAAAATGTCGGAACAAGGAGTCTGGAAGTAACTACGATACGATACGCTACGATCAGGTACGATAAGGCCAGTGTAGGCCCTACGAACTAGTTTTACTCGTCGTGTTATCTCTGTAACTAGCGGAATAGATACTTTAATAAAACCCTATTCCTACATATGTATATAATTATTTTTCGCGAAATTATTTCAGGAGACTCCCTTTCGTGGTTGAAGAGCGCAAGGAAATTTGTACAATATTTCATTTGTTCATTGTATTGTGGGATTGGGGCCTCCATACAGAATCTACAGGAGCACAAGAACGAGTAGAGAACAATAGAGAGGGCGCGTTGGCGTAATGCGCAGAGTCCTGGCTTGCCAGTTGGAGGTTAGGAGGGTTCGTTCAATTTTCCTAGAATACCTTAATATTCGAACGTTCTATTATCCGAAAGTTCTGTTATCGGAAAAGCCGTTTCGTAGCGATATTTACATATAACCTTATGTACGCTTTCCTGTATTCGGTGGAACGAATCTTAATCATGTAACTCTACACAGTTATTTATATTACAATAACTTATGTGACTTAGCAGCCAAAAACATATGGGATCCTTAAATATTGAAAGAAAGTGTTAATTTTGTTGATTTCCATTTGAATAAATACAGTTTAATATAAAAAAAAGTAATTGTTTTATTATCCAGAAATTCCACTTTTGTGTTCCTATTAATACGGATATGGGAGGCTCTACTGTTCAATGATTATGTCGTTTGCTCTAGCAGAAAGACCATTTAGCTTCGCCAGATTGATTATGTATCCACGAAAAAATTGTCGGAGCAATGAACATTATTTGGAGCGATACACTTTCTTAAATGCGAATAGCTCAACTTAAATTAAAAATAAATTTATTTTGCTAAACTTTACAGTTTTCATTGCCAAGGGCTATTTGAAGTATATATTTAAAATTCAAGCTTATAGCATGTTATTTCATGTTTCAAGTTATGCATTAGAATAAAAATATCTTATTTGCCAAAATTTCGTTTTATGTAAAATATACCATCTATTACATAAAGTATAATATAATTAAAAATCTAATTTACAATTCCAACCCTGATAGTACATAAACTGTCATGAATCTTGCCATCGATGTGCTCATTTGTCAGAAGACAGTCCTAGACTGAACGGCGGACATGTAAGACCTATGTCACAGCCAGAGGCAACATTTACACTCTTTTAAAATCACACAAAATAGTTTGTATCTGTCTGCCACCCATCTCCTCCGCTTAACTCCAAATCGTTTCATTCTTTTTAAATCTTCATTGTGCAACAATCTTCGGTCTTCAAGTCCGTCCGTCCACGTGTCAGAATTCTTTTTGACATATACGAAATTACAACGCGTATGAGTATCATTCACAGCTTCTTCCACTTTGGCTGCGCAACTCTTACCCAATCATTAAATAGAATCAACAGTACTATAGGAACCACATTTTCAAGAATAAAAATCACAAAAATTACGGGGTCAAGTTAATCGAAATCAGTGACAACCGTAGGAAACTCTAACCTCTTGGGCAATTTGAAAATTTCTAAAGTCGCAAGTATTCTTTATTTACACGTGAGTAATATAAAAGATATATGTGTACAGAACAGGAAAGATGAATTATTTTGCGAGTTAGAAGTTGACTGTTCTGTTAAACTAATTGTAAGTCATTTTACAAGTAATTTCTTGTACAAAAGCGACACTTGCCATTAATGCAGAGATATGGACTTATGTTATGTATTGATCATTATTTTCAACACCTCTTTCCTGTTACTATTATAATTTGTTTATATTTTGCTTCGACAAATTGTGAGTTTTATGGATTAATACAAGTATCTTGGTTCTGTGATCTTTTCGGGAATTTTTAAGTAAAAACGATTACAAGAGAAAATCTATTTTATGCGCATAGCTTTAAATACACACCGTTTTTTATTAATTTGCAGTTACAGAATTTATGTTTTTATTATGTATTCGTAATAATCGTAGTAGGTATGCATGTGCACACACTACTCATGTAATCGCAGAGATGGTATTTTCTAGAAAAGGTTATCTTAAATACATCGAACTTTTATTTCAATTTCAGTTAAAACTTTAAGATAGATACATGGTAATGGTCGACTTGTGTTTAGTGACGTATCAAATATTTTGTCTACCTTAAATATTAATATCTTTCGAAATACGTTTGCTTCTACATGTACGTATGTATAAGAAAATTCAATATTCGGAATATTCGAATGAAAGAAAAAATAAGAAATTTCTTTACCTCGGCAAAGAGAAAAAAAATATATTTCATATATTTCTTAAATGCTACACATTTTTTTAGTATTCATAAGATGTTTTACATGTTTCTTTAATACATAAATGTCAAGGCTAGTTCTCGTAAACTTTATGAGGGTATAAGCTTGCGATTAAATAAACTTTTATGTGCATATTTTTATCAAAAATTTGTATTGTATACGTAAACTTTAATCGGAATTTGAAATTAAAGTTACAGTTTTTAAAAGTAACTTTTCGTTCATCATCACTTGCCATCTCGTGTAATATGTTAATAGTAATCATAAGGGTGCTACATTCTTTACCCTTGTGTAATTCAGCACTGAAAATGAATAAATTTATTAACGTTATAGCATTAATGCCACAAAATGCATAATTTAAGCTACCATAAAATTAAATGCGTATTACTTATGAAATGACTCGGTACCAATCAAATCAATGTTAATCAATTTGTACAATTAGCAATTTTTCTTTAGTAAAATAAATGATGATACAATTAGAAAATTTTCAAGTGTCACACAATCTACGGGACTGGACAACATTTCTCTAGCTTTGTCGTTGCGGATCCTCAAGCAGATTCGTAAGTACCTGAATTTAGAGGAACTTTGATATGGATGTAGACCCAAACGACAACAGTAGAGAAATCGACTTATGCGAGACGAACACTCAACGTTTGATTGCTGAAAGCGGTGGTCGATGTATGAGCACGCAAGCCATGCAATCGCTCTATGATTTTCGACAAAACAATCTTCTCTGCGACGCTGTTTTAAGACTTGAAGATGGTGGCGTCTTTCCAATTCATCGAGCCATTTTGTCGGCCTGCAGTCCGTACTTTAGGTCTATACTTTAATTATACTTTAGTAATACTTCGTTGTTGCGAAGGCTGTTTAGAATGTTCTAAACATTTATGAACAATGTTCTTCACCCTTGCAAATACTCTTTACTTTTACAACTTATGAACAATTAACGATACATTTATTTACTGTTTCTTTCTTTTTTACATTGATCGTAAGCATTACACAAGAATCTGTCTTTGAACTTTCCATTTGCAATTTGTCAGTAGTACACAGGATGGACCAGGGCAGGTGATACAGCCAGGTATGAGATTATTCTACATGCGAAAATAAGTGGAAAATGTGGAATAAAACTTTTTCCTATGATGCTGCATTTCTGAAATAATCGAATTTGAAAATTTACTTGGAACACGTGCATTTGACTAACTCCGACTTAACGAATTTCATTCTGCTACATGATTAATCTTGTTTGTTCTCGTGTTTATAAACATTAAACAGTAACCGCAGAATTCACTTCACTAGATCTTTACGTGTAGGATCACATAAAACAATTAGCATGTGCTGAAGATAGTGAAAACCCTCTAAATTTTCAAAATACATTACTAGCATTATAGGGTAACTGCACCTAATATGGCACACCTGATTTTAAAAGCTTGCCAAACTTAGAGACATGCTTGTTCTTTAATGAAACTAACGTTAAAACACGACAAAATTAATAGATATTCGCATATTAATAGTTAACTATGCAAAAGTTTAAGTGTCTTGAAGTCATCGTAAAAAATGTAAAAGAAATCAAACGCGGCGAGTTGAAAAAATCGTTCCTAATATGGAACACCTAGGAATTTTGTAAGGAAATCTCAAAGAACTTAATATTTACTATGAAGAATGAACGTTTATGTAAATAAAACAGACAAATAAACAAATATCTTCCATTTCTCTGGGACCTTGTCCCAAGATTTTCTTTAATTTTTGATGCTACAACTTCCATCTGGTATATAAACAATAATAATAATGATCACATAAAACTATCTAATATATTGTAACACAATAAAGAATAATAATTATACTAAGAAGAAAAAAATGTAACGGTAAATTTCTTTTGAAGACTCAAAAATAAACATGTTTAATGATAAATCATGCAAAAGTAATATTTTTTTACCTTATTTTTATACAAAAATTTCACTATTTAACTCGCCTCTCAAAAACTTTTATACCCTTTCAAAAAACAATCAACTTTGCATTCAAAGATAGACTTGTAACTGAAGTTCATATTTGAATATGATTGTCTTTTGTTTTTAATGAAATATCTTACACTATTGCCGAGTGAGTCTGTTACTTATTTGCCGAGATATTGCGGTGTTCCATATTAGGTACAGTTACCCTCCACTTCTTCGATTCGTCAAGCAACTATTTGGATGCGACAATAGGGGTAACATTTTCAGCAATTCATCAATTAGTAAATATAATTATTGAAATTGCTAACATGTGTTGTATATTAATATTATTGAGATAGTCACGTATAGTGAAATCAGTTAAGTCGAAAATTAACCAAGTGTAACGTGCACCCGACAAATTTTCAAAGTTCGATTATCTCGGAAGCAAAGCATCATACGGAAAAATTTTATTCTACATTTTTTACATATCTTTGCATGTAAAATAACTACCCGCCCTGGTCCATCCTATATATACAGGACGAACCACATAATGTGATCATATTTATTAGTTTTGTTTTTGATGAACTGATTAATACTTTCTTCTATCATGAACAATTTATGTAATTTATCACAATCACCACAGTTGCTAACTGATAGGCAAAAAGACTGTAAGATTGTACATAAAAGTCTTGTGTACATTGTCATTTTTTATCAATTAAGGATTGCACATTATCACTTTAAATTTGAACATTTCAAGTTTAAAGGCTTTTATAAACCGCGTTATCCACGATAAGAAACATTTTGATCGATCTGCTAATAACAGCAGTTATGAAGGTGGTCACGTTATGCGATTTACCTAAGACATTTTTTAATCTTGCCAATTTATGATTTTGCATTGACACCTTTAAATTGATCGTAAAAACAATGAATTATATTTCTCATTTTTATAAAAATAAAAAAAAATATTTACAACTTTTACACTGACATATTTTCTATAACAAATAGGGGGTAGTTTCATTTAAATTAGAAAGTACAGTATTTTCCAAAAAACACAGAGAATTTATAGTATTGTTTAAACCATTACATATGTCTATAATCTATACAGGGTGATGCACGCAACTGTTACATGTTATAACTCCATTACCAGTACAGTTACAGAAAAATGTCAAAAGAGGAAGGTGAATGGTTCAAAGAGCACGACATCCTTAGGACCATGTTTTCTTTAGAAGTGCAATGGTGCATGTGCAATCGACAATTGCATTATTTTTTTAAACGGAAATGCATACTTTTTTTACACAGATAGATTTCTCTTGTCATTCTACGTAAAAAAGTAGTGAGATACAATGGTGGAAAAATGATTAGTTATTGAGATATTTTGAAAAATTGTCTTTATTCAGGTAGATGCTCGAACGCTTCTCCATTACACTGTACACATTTCATACAACGTTTTTCAATTATTTTCATTACTGAGTTAAGCTGCTCTCTGGTTATCTCTACGTACCTCAACATCTTGGCCACTCCGCTCACCCGATTTAAGTCCTTTGGACTTTTTTCTAATGGGGTTGTTTAAAAGATAGGATTTACTCAAATCCTCTAAATTCTGTGGAGTATCTAAAAGAACGAATAATACTGCAATGTACAGCAATAACCAGAGATCGCTTTAACTCAGTAATGAAAATGTTCGATTGTCCTCTTCCTCTATTCAGAAAGCGGGTCAGAGTTTCTAATCTCTTCCTCACGTTTTTAACACCACCTTCTATTTCTTAATTTGCCTTTTACTTATTGAAGAAACTGTGACCCGTGCGTAGCAACAATAACTTTATGAAAGCCATTGAACACCGTTAGACTCTTAGTTTCATTATTTTCGCCTTTATTTTATGGCTTAGAATTTCAATTTTCGTTTCTTTGTTCGAACATGGGTTGCCTGAGTCAGAGTGCATCATAAAGATTCTTGCCTGCTACGGTCGCGGGCGAAGCATGTGGAATTTCCGCGTACGTCACTCGAAGGTACTCTCTTTACCTGAGGGTGACCGTTAGCTGGAGGGAGGTCACTTTACACAAATTTATTCAGCCAATCATATTCACTCGACCGATTCTCTAGCCATTCCCGAAAAAATGCAATTCAACCAATCCACATGTCTCACCCCCGCTAACACACCTTTACTTTCGGGAGATTCCTCGAACGAGGAATGAGTTCAAAAACACACTTCACGAGAACAAGACACAAACCAAAGACACATTCCAATTATCATTCCTTACCTCCGGAAACGATCGTAAGTTGATCGCGTTGCACCGCGAATTCGTGGAAAAAACAGAAAATAATTGAGAAACGTTGTATAAAATGTGTACAGTGTAATGAAAAAGCGTTCGAGCATCTTCCTGAATAAAGACAATTTTTCAAAATATCTCAATAACTAATCATTTTTCCACCATTATATCTCACTACTTTTTTACGTAGAATGACAAGAAGAACTTATTTGTGTAAAAAAAGTATGCATTTCCGTTTAAAAAAATAATGCAATTGCCGATTGCACATGCACCATTGCACTTCTAAAGAAGACAAGGTCCTACGGATGTAGTGCTCTTTGAACCATTCACCTTCCTCTTTTGACATTTTTCTGTAACTGCATTGGTAATGGAGTTATAACATGTAACAGTTGCGTGGGCCACCCTGTATATTAAATTCTATATAGAATTAGAATATAAATTGTTTATAGAGCTTTATTCACGACCACGTTGCACTCCCGGGAGAAAACGGACGTACTTTTGCCGGGTGTCAGCAGTAACATGATGAATCTTCTTCTCGAATACGCATACTTGCGATCAATCACCGTGAACAACGAAAACGTGTGTCAGTTATTGGTAACTGCGGATTATTTGAACATTTTGGGCGTTCTCGATCTCTGCTACGAATATCTGAAGCAGAATTTGGCACCGGAGAATAGTATCAGTGTCATGAGGTTCGCCCGAGAACACTTCTGCAAGGGATTGGAGAACAGTGCATATCGTTACGTCATGAGACATTTTGTGCATGTCAGTACACTTTCATTAACTGTTCAAAGTTATTGCATAATTATAACAATAACATTTATAAGTAATTTATAGTATTTTTTAAACCACCAACTGTGAAGAGTTTCGCATAAGTTACATCTACATATAACGTGTACGCGATTTCTTTCTCCTTACCATATATTTATGAATTCAATTAAGATTGAAATTATTCAAAATCGTCATAATTATTGTTGAATGCGTACATAAATACATAGTTACTAAAGTATACTGTCCGATGCTCAAAATTCGCGACACGATTACAATAAACCGCGACCGCGAAAGGTGTCCTACCATTGTGATCACGACAATTTATTGAAGGATGGGCGATATTCTTGCAATTGGTGTGGTGAGGTGAAAGAAACATAATATTTCAGAGTTACCATGTACTATGTTGTATCGAAAGGATTGATGGTGCTTTGGTGGTTGTTTTGCAGTGTGTATCTCTGAATGTATGTACGTGGTAAAATGTTAGGATTGTTAGAATAGAATATGGAATGTCTTAGAGAATCTGTTGTAGAATACCTTTAGTTTAACTATGTTGTGAAATATATAGGGTGAGTTACATAACTTGTCCACCCCGAATAACTTTCAGAGTATTGATTCTACAAATAAGTGTTTTATAAATAGGGTGGACAACTTGATCACTTTAATTATTAGGTCATCCTGAAAATTCCCGCGGTTTTAAGACGTTCAGTTTGAAAAAACATAACGTTTTTATTTAAAATAATTTCCGTAATGTTCGATACACTTTTGCCAACGTATTATAAGAACATTAATTTCGCATACATAAAAATCCGAATCTCTAAAGGAAAGAAACTGCTGAAAGGCGTTTTCAATTTCCTCCTGATTCCTAAATTGTTTTTGTGTAAGGAAACTGTCAAGTGAGCGGAAAAAATGAAAATCGGTTAGAAATAAATCAGGGGAATATGGAGGATGAGGTAGAACTTATTATACAGTACCTAATTGATATGCCATTTTTGTATAAGTGTGCTTGCTACGTGCGGTCTGACATTGCCATTCAAAAGGATAGAGCCTTTTCTGTTGATCAGGACTAGTTGCTATACCTTTAATTTTCAGTGGACGACCTTCAATTCATTACTGTATGATTCTGGAGTGATAGTGGTACTTGATCTTAGGAAACTGTAATGAATTAATTCCGGAATAAACCACTAAACTGTGAGCATGATTTTTTTCGGGTGTAAACTAAGTTTGGGATTTTTATTTATGCGGAATTACGGCTCTTGTAATACTTTAGCAAAAGTGTATTGAACACTATGGAAATTATTTTAAATAAAAATGTTTAATTTCATTAGTGTTACATTCTTTCAAAATGAACAGTTTCAAACCGTGGGACCTTTTAGAATGACCTAACAGTTCCGTTATTATTGGACTAATACAAATTCCTTTTTTTTTTAAATACCTTGGTTTAGAGGAGTCTACGGGTTCATTGCAGTATACTTTTCGTAGGTAATGCTTTTTAAATGAAACCCTATACTTTGAACCCTTATTTTCTTCGTCGAAGATAAAACTTACTATTATTTAACCTAATAATTACACTTAGAAAAAACGTGTATAATAACACCATTTAAAATGTGATTATAACATTTAATACGGTCCAAGTAATTTCAATAATTCACGTATATTCCATTTACACTTTGCTCAATATCAGTTACTTCGAATCGTGCGAAGAAGAGCAGACGTATTAAAAATCAGAATGACAATCGTATTGAACGCAGGTAGCTCAACGGAGCGAAGAAATTCTCGACTTACCGGTAGAAGAGCTAACCATGTTAATCGGAGCGGACGAGCTGAACGTTAAGAGCGAGGACACGGTTTGGGAACTGGTACTAAAATGGATCGACTATGATCCACAATCTCGAAAGGAGTATATAGTCGATTTGATGAAGAACATTCGTCTTGGCTTGCTGGACACGCAGTTCTTCCTTGAAAATGTAAAAGATCATCCGTACGTTACTGGAAATGACGCTTGCCGACCTATCATTATCGAAACCTTAAAATTCTTGTACGACCTGGAAATTATAACGCAAAAAGACGGAGAAGTACCCACACCGAAAATAGCGCGACCAAGAGTGCCCCATGAAATATTGTTCGCTATAGGTGGATGGAGTGGCAGAAGCCCTACAAATTTCATAGAAACTTACGACACCAGAGCAGATCGATGGGTCAAGGTAAACATTTTGATGTGTGATACATACATAAGGTAGAAAATAATCTTTTAAAAATTATTCCTACCATTATTTTCTTTAGCGAAACCGTTAATACGGTGTACATTTTTTCTTTTCTTTACTTCAGTTTCGTCTATATGTATAACGATCACTTTTTATACAGATGGAAAATTTAACAAGTCAAATAAGTCGTACAATTACATATATGCATTAAGTTTTTATGTGTTTTCAATAGAGAAGGTAAAATTTTATATTAATATAATAAAATTAAAAACTGAAATATCAGATTATATAAATTTTATATAATTTACTATCCTAATAATCTAATTTCTTCGTTTATATTAATGATAGCTCATCTTTCACTAGATCCACTAAAATATTTATAATTGCAATTTTTCAATTATACATCGTACCGTGTTTGTAACTAGTATTCGGACAATATGTTTAATATGGAAGAAATATGATTAATAATTGCTTTTCTAATTACATGTATTTGTTAACTATTCTTCCTACAAGAAGCTACTTTATTATTAGAAATCATCAGCTATTACTCTTCGTTATTGTATCGAAAGGTGGAAGAAGTGGATCCGATCGGACCACGAGCGTATCATGGAACTGCGGTGGTCGGTTTTAACATTTATGTGATCGGTGGCTTCGACGGTGCAGATTACTTTAATAGTTGTCGTTGCTTCAATGCTGTTACCAAAACGTGGAAAGAAGTTGCTCCAATGAATGCTAGAAGGTTAAACCAAAACACTGTTTCAGAACCTTAAATATGAAATACTCTAATACTTTAGGTATTTTACAAATTATGCAGTGTTTCGAGCAAATGTGTTGAACCATATTTTATTTTATATTGAATTTTCTAAGTGTATTTAGAACATATTTACAACAATTGTAATCTATTTATTTGTTTATGAGACGTGTCTCGTTATACGAAGATAAGAATTGGAGAATTTTCAATTCATCGTATATAACAGGGGTGGCCATAGCGCGGCTCTTATGCAAATAAAATGTATGTATGAAATATGGTAAACTAAAACTGATCAATGTCCAAAAGTAATTATTTTATTTCATTCAAGGAAGATCTGTGGGTAAACTTTAAAAAAATTGAACTGATTTTTCAGTTTCTCATTGTTTGTTTTGTTATCAAAGATAAATAAATGGCTCTTTCAAATATTCCTTCCTGAAATGTGGCTTCCGAAGGTAATGTAGCTGGCCACCCCTGGTATACATATAACAATCATTGAGATGACAGACATTTTTACTATGTGTAATTTACTATCATAAATGAATTAGAAAATGAGTCAGAATTAGATAAAGTGTTCCAATATTCTCCAATAGTGTATACATATGTATCTTATAATTTAATAATCTATGAAGTATACTATATTAATTGCAGTAATATAGTAATAATTGCAATTATTTTCAATTATAGCGGTACTTTAAAATTACAGGTCGACAAACAGAAAGCCAAGCATCTAAGAAGTTTATATTAAATGCTTTCAATCTTATTAATATGCATAATTCTAAGTGTTGAATGTAAAGTTTTAGATATCCTAATGTTATTGAAGTACTTACTTAATATTCCTCGTACAGCAGTAGTAGGTATACCAACAGCGCGTTAAGGATTATTTTAACGAATAGAAACTTACATTGTTGCAGAAGAAAGAACTTTCATATCTACATATACAGGGTGTCCCGTAACTCCTCGAACACCCGGAAATGGGGGGATGCTGGGGTGATTCTGAACAACTGTTTCCTTTAACCAAAATGTTGTTTGAAGCTTCATTTTTGAATTATTAACGAAAAACGCTGGCCAATCGGAGCGCGCGTAGAGCCCGCGCTCAGGGACGAAGAAGAGAGGCTCATTCGCGCGCGATTCCGACTAATTACAATTTTTTCAAAAATTTATACAAACGTGGGAATGACGGCAAAAAACCATTTCTCTAAGCCTTATAAAAACAGCGGTGCAAAGTGAAAATTTTTTGACAGCGATCGATAACCGAGAAGTCACGCGTACGCATTTGTTCACGATCGCGCGCGGATGAGAGTCAG